CAGCCACTGGTGGGGTAGTCTGTGCCCATCATATCCTCTTCCCACAGCAGCAGCAGCAGACATTTGATATGGGAGGAGGTGGTAGGGCTGGGTGTTGGGCACCAGAGGGGGCAAAGGTTCTGGGCAGTGCTTGAAGCTCCCCAGAAGCAGCAAAATCCCCCTCTCTCAGCTCCTAACTCCATGCACTGCCTCCACCCAGAAGTGCCACCCTTGCATCTCCCATGGACCATAGTTCCCAGCCAATAGAAGCTGCAGAGGCAGTATATGCAGAGACCCCCAGCCATACCTCCTCCTAGGAGCTGAAGAAGGGGGATGTCACTGCTTCTGGGGAGGCACGGAGCCAGGTAGAGAATCCTGCCAACCATGACAACCACATCCTCCCCAGCCATCATCAGGTCCCAGGCCACACACCACCTCCCATGTTATCCCAGACCACATCTCCACCCCCACCCCTCTGATTTAGTCAAGGGCATTTTTCCCTCTAATTTTTTTCCCTCCACCAGTGGATTTTTTACTTCCATGAACAGAATAAATGTTTATGTGCACATGTGCAAATGTGCACCACCAATAGAAACAAAAACCTATTTGTGGGTGCTTTGCTAATCGGAAGCCCCCAATTAAAATGCTGCTTTCATTATAATAGAAACAAAAACCTATTTGTGGGTGCTTTGCTAATCGGAAGCCCCCGATTAAAATGCAGTTTTCATTAGAATCTACAATGGGCACATTATGAATAAAAGAACGGTTACTTACCTGTAACTGTTGTTCTTTGAGATGTGTTGCTCATGTCCATTCGAAGTAGGTGTGTGCACCGCGTGCACCACGTCTTCCGGAGCGTTTTCCCTAGCGGTACCCGTAGCGCTGGCAGGGCGCCCCCTGGAGTGGTGCCGCCATGGCGGGGCATAAGTACCCCTGCCGGCGCTGCCCCACCTCAGTTCCTTCTTGCCAGACACTCCGACGAAGGGGAGGTAGGGTGGGAGTGGAATGGACATGAGCAACACATCTCGAAGAACAACAGTTACAGGTAAGTAACCGTTCTTTTCTTCTTCGAGTGGTTGCTCATGTCCATTCGAAGTAGGTGACTACCAAGCTAACCCCACGGAGGAGGGGTCGGAGCAGTCATACCACCAGAGTCATGAAGAGAGGTGAACAATAAACGGATTTATTCAAACAATCCAACACGGATAAGGCACATATTAACAACAATGACAACAGGACATATTTACATATTTACAGTACAGATTCAAGGACTGCAAAACCCACCACTGCATCCTCCCTGGCCTGCTGTGCTAGCACATAGTGCGCTGTAAACGTGTGAAGGGAAGACCATGTGGCCGCCCTGCAAATTTCCATGATTGGTACCTGGGCACCAAAGGCCACCGAGGACGCCAGCGCCCTGGTAGAGTGTACCTTCACCCTGGGTGGGGTTTTACCAGCCAGTTGATAACATTCTGTGATGCATTGCACCACCCATCTTGATAGCCTTTGTGTCAAAATAGGTGACCCTTTCACCCTGTCCCCAAATGCAACAAACAATTGTTGGGATTTACGGAACAGCTTGGTTCTGTCAATGTAGAACGCCAGCGCCCGCTTGGCGTCCAGGGAGTGAAGCACCCGCTCCTTATGGGAGGCATGAGGTTTTGGGAAAAAAACCAGAAGATAAATCTCCTGGGACAGGTGGAACGGTGACACCACCTTTGGGAGGAAGGCTGGATGAGGCCGTAGCCTTACGTTATGTGAAAACACAAGGTAGGGCGGGTCTACAGTTAGCGCCCTTAGTTCTGACACCCTTCGAGCTGACGTAATGGCCACGATGAAAGCAACCTTCAACGAAAGGTGCCGCAGGGAACACGTTGTAGTGCCCCTGTGGCATAAACCTTACAGCCCAACAGGTCCAGCCGCTTAGGCTCTCTCGCCCTTGGAGAAGGACCGGGCTGAGGGAGTCTTTTCTTTTGGGCCGCGGCCTGCACGACCAAGGACCCTGGGATGTGTTGTGAATACAGGTATTCATGCCCCGAGTGCGGGACGTAATAACGCCTCTCGACCCCTTTTAAGGTAGGGGTCAAAGTCGCTGGCGTTTGCCACAGGGCATTAGTAATTTTGGACACCGTTTTATTGAGCGGTAAGGCCAACCGCGCAGGCGCGTCCTCCGTGAGGATGTCCACTATTGGATCCATGTCCTCAATGACAGGTTCCACCGGAACGGCCAGGTTGGAAGCCATGCGCCGGAGCAGATCCTGGTGCGTGCGGGCATCCATTGAATGCAGACTTGGTGCCGGGTCTGCTAGTGCCTCGTCCGGAGACGACGACGACGACGACTCCTGAACTGGCACAGGAGCGGTTGTCGCCAACTGCGGTGCCGGTTGAGCAACTTGTGCCCCGATGGGTCCGCCTCCGGTGCCGGTGACTGCGGTGCCGCTGGATCGGGTTGCGGCGCCCGAAGAGGGGAGGGAGGGGCTCGGGACAGGCACGCCGACGGTTGGGAACGGTGCCCTGAAGCCTCTGACCCCAGAGAGGGGGGCAGCTGACCTTGCCACTGATGGTAGGCCCAAAGGGTTCCAAAAAGGCCACTGAGGGTGCGGAGGCCATGTTTGCTGAGTGTGGTCCCTCCGATGTCTGGACCTGGACCTGTGGGCCAAAGACGCTCCCGAGGACCCCGATCGAATGGAGACGGCATCTGAGTCTGATGAGTAATCGGACTCCGGCCAGGGTGGAGCCAAGGAGGAATGCGGGGCAAACTTGGCCATGGATTCGCTCCAGCTTGCCCCCGTGGGTGCGGCAAGGATGTGCCGTCTGAGGTACCGGGGGACCCATGCCCGGTGCCGTAAGGGCCGCTGATAACTGCGGCACCGGGAGACCCAGACCCGGTGCAGAGAATTCTGTGGCACCCAGTTGCGGTACCGGATGCGAAGCAGCCAGATGTGGCAACGGGGTGCGCATGCGGTACTGGGGTGCTGAGCCCCGGTGCCGGTCGAGTTGTCGCCAGCACTTGTGGCACTGGGGCACCGAGGCCCGGTGCTGGTTGAGATGCCAGCAGTTGTGGCACCGAGGTGCTTAGGCTCGGTGCTGGTTGAGTTGCTGCCATTGGCTGCGGCACCGGGTGCTCAGGCCCGGTGCCGGAAGAGACCACTACGTCGATGCCAGTACAGATGAAGGCACGAAGACGGACGCCGGCTCTTGGGTGTCCGCCATGGAGGAGAGAGGTGTCTGAGTGGACGTCACATGGCTACGGAGATACGGCACCGGTACTGCCAGGCGGGGGGCTGGCAAGGAGCTCAGCTGCAGCGAAGTTCGAGCACGGCTCGAAGCTACCTGAGACTGACGACTCGGCGTCGAGAAGGGTGCCGTAGTAGCGATCGGTACTGACCCCACATGGTGTGGTCCCGACGCATAAGCCACCTTAGCATGCCGACCTGGGCCATGCGGGGGCGAAGCCGTAGCCAGCTGAGCCTCTGACGATGGTGACCTCGACCCTTCCGAGTCAACCGACGATGGAGGGGAGGTCGTGAGGCTAATAAGGTCCTGCGCCTCTTCAAACGTGTCCGGTGTGAAGGCAGGCGACCAGGACTATCGAGGTCTCCTCGGCGCCGACGGTGTGCCGGAGGAGATACGTGCACCGGTGAGCCCGCGCTGCGGTGCCTGGCCGAAGTTGACTTCTTTGAAGGGGACCTTCCGCGGGACTTCTTCACCCTCTTGGACGGAGGAGAGTGAGACCGGTGCCGAGACCTCGACGCTGACGCACGGTGCTGGTGTGGAGCCTCCCACGTGGAAGCCGGTGCGCTGCGCACCGCAGGTTGCTCCGGCAGCACCGGTTGAAGCGCTGTCTCCATGAGGAGAAGCTTCAGGCAGGAAACCCTTTCTTTTCTCGTACTGGGCTTAAAGGACTTACAGATCTTACAGGCAATAGCCAGATGAGCCTCACCCAAACACTTAAGGCAACTGTCGTGTGGGTCGCCCCTGGGCATAAACTTCCCGCAGTCAGCGCACGTCTTGAAGCCTTGCGGCCCTGGCATTCCTTAGCCCCAAGGGGGAAGGAATAAAACGAAGAACCTAACTATCTAACTACAACAACTATTTACAGACAAATGTGAAAACGGGAACCATTAACTAACTAAGAGACTAAGAGACGCTCCAACGACTGTCACGGCGGTAAGAAGGAACTGAGGTGGGGCAGCGCCGGCAAGGGTACTTATGCCCCGCCATGGCGGTGCCACTCCAGGGGGCGCCCTGCCGGCGCTACGGGTACCGCTAGGGAAAACGCTCTGGAAGACGCGGTGCACGCGGTGCGCACACCCACTTCGAATGGACATGAGCAACCACTCGAAGAATCATCTCTGTTCTCTTTTCTGTAGCATAGGGACAGAAACACTAAGTGCTCACTAGACAGTCATATCTACTGGGAAAAGAACAGAGCTGCAGGTTCTCTCACATGCTCTTAGCCACATGTGTCACCACAGCTCCTCATCGCTAGAATACCTGACTATTGCAAACTTTGGAAGCTGAAGATTGGATCGTGGCAATCTGCCTGAGATTGGAGGAAATCTTTGCTTTGAGTCCATACAGGTATCTGGAAGGCTGAAATTAAAAAGCATAAAGAGGCTATTAATGTTTCAAATGCAAATAGTCATTTTTTTCAGGGCTAATAAAGCCCAGGTGTCCAACCTTTGTACACTGAGGGCTACATTGGCAACTTGCCAGCAGCCTGAGGCATGTACCTAATTTGCATGGATACAGACAATTTCAAAATTACAAATATTGTACACAAGCAAGGTATTTTGCTTATACTTTTATCTTTCTTAAGAAATTATTTACCCCATGTTTGCATTCTTTACAACAAAGTCTGCAGCTTTGACCTCAGCTTGTAGCTATGAGAGAGGGTGGACAATTCATAGGATTTACTGTGGGTGTTTAGTTTCAAAACCTCATTTTTATAAAAACTAACGTTTACAATTCTAATTTTTTAGGTTTTCATCCAGGATATTTGTCTGCGTTTTATTTACCTGCTGGTATAAAGCTACAGCCAATCTCTATCCAGCTTCATCATATTATCTGCTTGCTCCTTAACTGTTCTCAGCTAAGTTACTGAAAACAAGTTTTCTTTCTGAGTACATGGGTAATGAACACATGGCCAGGGGGCTCTGAAGAATCCAAGAGAGCTATTTGAACCCCTATCTTCAAGCAAGCATGTACTGATCATGGTTTCTTTTCAAGCTATTCCAAGGATTCCATATTTGACAAGCAATTTAATATTCATATAAAAAGTGATTCAGAAGGTGGCAGAGAATCAAAGGGCTGGTTGTTTTAAAAAGTATGATTAAGTGGTTAAAAAATGGAAAAGGCCCATTTAGATTGTAAGCTTTTTGAAACAAGGATAGTCTAGACCTCCAAGTTTGTACAGTGCCCGGTACAACGGAGTCTCATTAGTGGGTGGGTGGGTGGAAGAAAGAAAGAAACCATGGCTGTAAACCACTAGACTCCTTTGGGAGCCTGGGTAAAATATCTGAAAACTAATTTACTATTTGAAACTTGTATTAGAATAGCTTTTAAAAACAGTTAGCATTTAATTAATAGTTAGCATGTAAAAACTTTTATCACAAAACATTTTTTTCAAGCACTATGGATGCGTCATGCACTTTAGAATGAAGTATTTTACTTCTTAATAGGTTTCCTAATGCACTGTTCAGAACAACTATATTTAATTCAAGATCTTGGTTACATTAAGTAAAAAGACAATGTATGGTAGTTCTTTCAAAGCCCTTTCATTGGCTATTTTTATAGTACAATGAAATTTAATTTGTTTTGTATTCACATTTACTTTCTTTTGCTAGGATTTTGTTACAATATTTCTATTTTAATATGCTATGGAGCACAATTATATTAATAATATTATATATTAAAACTGTGAGGAAAGGTAATTCAAAATGGTAATGCTGATATCTGAGCAATTATACACATGCTAAGAATAACCCATACCAAAGTAAAATAATTGTATGAACAACCTACAAACATGAGCGTTCTCATCCATGTCTGTGAAATTTAATCAACAGAAAATGGGCTATTCTACACACTCATCTTAACCACAAACATTTTCGCCAAACAATTCAAAGCTCAATTTTCAACTACTAGATACCAAATGGGTAGTTTTACTTTCTGGAGAATTAATCAATTCAAGTAATATACATCCAATTTCTGTTCATTGGTTGACTTAAATATGTGGCCTTAATGTGACTAATTAAATAAAATGACCTCAGAGTTCATAAAAATGCAGTTTAATTTTGATCTGCTTTTTTTTGGCCAAAGACACAATGCACAACATATTTTCCTGCCCTTCTGCTAGATAAATTTTACTTGTTTGCAAATGCATAATTACATTTTTCTCTGTGCTTCAGCTGCCATCTGCCATTTATACAACACAAGGGTAAATTGGATGACATAACTCCCAAAGGGTCATCTAATCAAGGAACACTGTAAGCACTGTCAGTCGTTTGTGCATTAATGAAGGAAGAAAGCCCAACATTTTCCAGAAACAAAGGCCAACGAAAGAGCAACCAGACAATTTATGGAAGAATTTCCACTTCCGGTTCCACCATTATTTCAACAACTAATTGCAAAATACACATAATCACAAGACAGATCCCGTTTTTTCTAATGTTGCCTGTGAGGTACAGTACAATAGATCAATAAAGAGGAAACACAAAATCAAAACCTGATATTCAACAAGACTCCCATGCAACATTTTCCATCCATTCCTTGCCTACTCCAAAAAAGCAACTTTGAAGCAACGGCTCATTCAGTGCTTGATTCTGGAAGTCAGACGTAATGTGTGTGTGTGTGGCGGGGGTGGTCTCGTTAATGCAGGAGTGGGTTCCCCATACTCCACGTGCTGCTCCTCACGTTGTGCCTGGATGCTGAGTGTTAAGCACCTGTGCTGGGCAGGGTCAAACCTGGAGATTCACTTGTATGCGAAGTTCCAAGTGCTAGGAGAACACTAACAACTTTGCAGTGATTCCAATTAAAAAGCCACAAAGCTGATACACCAAGCACAGGAGGAGCTCTCCCTCCTGCCATGCACCCCCCAGCACCCTCCCCCAGCCAAAACCCCAGCAACAACTGGGCATGCCCTGCGCCGGTGGTTTTCAAACTTTTTTCCTCAACATCCAGTTAAAGAAAAATTGCTGATGCCCGCGGCCCGACATAATGATATCCTTTGACAGAGTGTGGGCTCCAGGGTGGGGCCAGGGATGAGAGGTTTTAGCTGCAGGAGGGGATTCTGAGTTGTGGGGCCTGAGGACTGGGACAGGGGATAGGGTTGCTGAGTTGCGGGCAGTGGGCTGACCTATGGCAACATGCGGTCTGTGCACAGTGTGGGTGCGAAGGCTGGCTTCTTGCCGGTCTTGGCACCATGCACAGCACTGTACCCCAGAAGTGGCCAGTAGCAGGTCTGAGTCCAGGGTGGACACGCACAAGCAGCTCTAGCCTGCAGGCAGTATGGAGTCAGTTCTCGGCATGGAGGCAGCATGTGGAGCTCCGTGGCCCTCTGCCTAGGAGCTGGGCCTGCTGCTGGCCACTTCCAGAGTGCAGCACAGTCTGCGGTGCCAGGACAGGCAGGAAGCTGCCTTAGCACCCCAGCAGGTTACTTGGTCACCCTACAGCAAGGTGACCCAGAACTGAGGTGGGACCTGGACTCTGGACATCATTGCACTACATTTCAAACTGACTTTGTTGGACCAAAAGTTGAAACAAACTCTAGGACCTTAGTCTCCTAAGAGTCTTACAGACCCCTCTTAGCTAGAGTCCTGAATGGACAGAATGTCCCAGTGGGACTCAGCTGCCATGATGGCGGATAGGGAGAGAGACCAGTTCTAATGTGGTGGAAACGCAATCCGCACCGGCCTTTTTAGACCAAAACAACCTTTCTGAATTGCTTCTGAAAGTGCACTGGTAGCTCGGCATGCAAACAGGCCTGCTTGACTTGTTAATTATACATTTCCCATACTTGCCAGAACATTGTGTAATGCAATTCAAATTCTCACCACCCCACTTTGAAACTTGTTAATTAAAAAAAGGAAAGAGGGAAATCAGATTGAGGGGGTTCTTAGCTTTGGATGTGTCATGGATGTAACTTATTTGATCTAAGGGGGAGAGAGAGTGAGGGAGACAGACAGACAGACACAGACAGACAGCACTTTCAGATTATTCTTCTCTTGGAAGTAGAGTTTAAAAAATTTGTTTCGCTGGAATACAGAAGCAGTACAATCAGAGGCAGGAGGAGGGGGGCAGGCAGCAGAGTGGAGAGGTCTCTGGGGGGGGCACCCGTCTCCTGTTCTCGCCCACCTTGCTGCCTCTCATAGATGATTACTCCACTTGACTACCCAATAAGCTTATACTTACTGGGTAGTCAAGTAGTCATCTACTCGCTAACACCCCTATCCATGATATTAATGGAGGAGGCGTGGGGTCTGAGATGGAGGCTGGATGCAGAAGGGAGTTTGGGGTAAGGGATCTGGGCGCAGGAGGGCCTGTGAGGTCTGGAAGGGAGTTTGGGTGAAGGAACAGTTGTGACCAGAGACACAGGATTGGGGTGTAGGGGTTTAGGTTGTGAGTTAGGGCAGGAGGGGATTGTGACCTAGGGCAGGGGTTTGGGTTGTGATCTAGGGCAGGAGGGGGTTGTGATCTAGGGCAGGTGATTATAGTGCAGGGGTTTGGTTTCTGACCTAGGGCAGGAGGGGATTGTGATCTGGGGCAGGGAATTGGATTGCAGAGTCTGGGAGGGGATACAGGCTCAGGAGGGGGGCAGAGGGTTTGGCTTATGTGGGGTAAATGGGGCAGGAGTGGGCGGGCAGAGGGCTGGGTTGCCAGTGAAACTCCATGTCAGCAGCCTAGCATATTTCTCAGGCAGGAGCCTGCCCCGCTGCCGCACAGGCTGCAGAGCCTGAAGGGAGGGGTGCTTAAGACAGTTCCCATTGGCCAGAAACCAGCCAATGGGATTGTGCTGGGAGTAGCAGGAGCCAATTGTCAACTCATAGGGCCAGGGCCCAACAGGGTTATGGATTCACTTCAAGACAGAGTCAATTAGGGATAGTTGCTTTTATTAATCTCACTACATCACTACTATTGCAGGCTTAATACTGCCAGATGCTTACACAGCTACTGCAAAATAATATGCCAATAAGCATAGGCAAAGCAATGCAGAAAAGTGAGCAACAGGCACTTGGAAATGCTTACGCCCCTTCAATCTATGGGGAGTCCCATTCCGGTCACCTCGCACCCAGCCACAGTGGACGTGGCTCCAGCTGGGGGGGATCCAGGGCACCCTCGGAGGTCCAGGTCCCTAGTGAGACTCACCGGACACGGGACTCCCAGTGATTTTATACTTTAGCTGTTCACCGAGTGTCCACAAGCTGGCCCAATGCCACTCTCAACGTTCCCACGGGGCTGAGAACTGCGGCCATGTTATTTATCCCATATTTGGCTTTCAGCTAGCAAGCATGGGGAGTTGCGGTTGATGAAGGCCCTCTGATAAAGAACATCCTATATTTTCTCCAGCAGGGCTCATGGCTGGCCTAGAGGAATAC